TCAGTTGAGGAGTATTATTTGAAGTTGAAATAAAATTTATCCATTGAATTGATTGTCTGAAACTTATAGAAAAATCTTTAGATCGCCATCGATCGAAACTAGCTTCGAACCGGAGAAAATTCAAATCCCAAAAATTGCAAGTGCATACAAAAAAATTTGTGGGTCTTTTGGGTATTGAATATAGGATCAAATATTGTCCTTGTATTGTGTTAGGGTTTTGCCTTGATTTTCTTACCATAATTTAAGATTTATTTTTCCTTAAAGAAAAGACAAAACATTACCATAAATGTTTTTACTTTCTTGAAAGGGAAATATAATATTCTTTTATATTTGATTTATTCTCTCCTTTTAGGACTCCTTTTCTAGTAAGAAAAAGGTTTTAGGACTCTATAAATATAGGTTTGTTTCTTCTAACACAAAAACAATAGCATCCACACTGTAGTCGTTTAAGAGTCTTGTTTATGGGGAGCTTTATTCTCTCTAAAGTTTCAATGTTTTTCTTTATATTAGTTTTGATATAATAATATTTTGATTTTTAATATAAGTTTTTGTTATCTGATTTATCAACCATATGATTTGCAAATTGCAAGCTTCCGCATGACGCCATAATCATCCCTTCATAACCCAACACTTTAGTCCATCTACAATGCTCAAACAAGTGAGAATTAGTCTCCATCACTTGTTCATCACACAGGCAACAATCAGCTCATCATCTTAAATGTGGTGCCTCTCTTTCCTCTCTTATGTTAGTAGTCTACCATGTACAACCAGCCATACCAAAAATCTATGCCTAGGCAAGGCTATAGAGGTCCATATTAATTTCACATTCTTCAGTTATGGTCTCTGACCTATGATTGCCAAGTAGCTACTTGTAATACAATACTTCCCATCTTTTGTGAGTTGATACCTGTCTTGACTGTACCATTGATGCATTTGTGCCTTGAGAGCAGTTGGTTTCCTCCAATACCAACTGCTGTCCACTGGGGCTGTGTGTTGCCAAATAGAGATATTCTCTTTTATATATATGCCATTTACCCACTTAACCCATAATGATTCCTTGTTGACTGTTAAATGCCAAATAAGTTCCCCACAGAGGCAACATTCCAATTACTACTACCTTTAATGCTTAATCCTCCTTGACTCTTTGGAAAACATATTTGTTCCCATGATACTAATGCAACCTTTCTTTTATCCTCAGACCCTCCCCATAGATAGGTTCTACAAATTTTGTCCACTTCTTTCAATACACACTAAGAAAGGATAAAAAAATGGAATGTTTAATCGAAGAAAATCAGTTGAGTGTCACTGTATTAAGCTTAAATTTGTTTGCTTTTAAAGATTTTGAGTCCGTAATTTCTGATTGTGGAGAAAAGGGATGAAATTATTATCTACGATTTGTGGTATATTGAATAATATAATAATGACGGTGGTTTCAAAATGGTGAGAGGTGGTGTTATTTGATGACAGCCATTGATGCTTTACTAAGTTGCTATGGAGAAGAAGCCAAATTAGAAGTAGAAACAAATAAGAAAAAAAATTGCATATATTTATGAAAAAATATTAAAAGCAAAATTTTAATTTTTTTTTAAATCTTCACTCTCTCAAGGAGAGTGCAATACACTCTCTTTGCCATGTAGGCATTTAGGGGGGTAAAAATTTCAATTTTAAAAAATATAGGAGGTGATAGGACTCCCGTGAAGAATAAATGTGTAGTTGAAAATTCGATCATAGCTTAATGGGGCATTTGACCATTTTCTCTAATAATGAAATTTAGATTTTAGGGTTCATAGATCTAGGTGGCAATGACATAATTCCAGCGTGGCAAAAAAGGTAAGTGGGGCCCAAGGCCCACGAGATTTATACCTGAAAAAGCATCTAAGGGACCCACTTGATCTAAAGCATCTTTAGAATGGGCGGTTTGATGGGTCCCACATTGTTATATGGACTTGATTATAAAATATTTAATAAAAATAAAAGTTGCCACGTCAGATTATTCATGTTGTTTATGCATAGTCCAAATAGGACCATGCTATGCGCGGAATTTAGGAAAGGATCGAATCACGAGAGGTTTACGTTGTTTTCATAGTATGAACTTGGGAAATTGTGATTATGTGCGAGATTCAGGAGAGCATCGCATTTATGTTGTTTTCACAGTTTGAACTTGGGAAATTGTGATCGTGTGCGAGATTCAGGAAAGAATCGTGTCACGAGAATTTTAAATTGTTTTCACAGTTTGAACATGTGAGGTTTTGACCTTTTGCTACGTGTCAGTAATTTTATCAGTTACATCAGAGCTCTTCTAAAAGGAATCCTAGAATTCTGTCTGTTTTCTAGATTCGGAAAAGCGTGAATTCTTAAGAACGTTTAGTTTAGGGGCAATGTAGTAAAAACTTATGGTTTAACATCATTCCACTTAAAAAATAATCAATAAACGTAAAATATTAGGTGATTTTTTATCTATTCAAACCACGATACACAATGTAACTCAATATTCTTGATATCAATACGTATAATTAATCGAGATGCGTGTAAATTAATCCAGACCCCGACGAGTTAAGAAGTGTGGGGTTGTTAATGATCACAATTTGTGAGTGGGGGTTGAATAAGCGCCGGCCTAATGCCCCTCTTAACGTTAATGTCCATTTTCCCCAATATGAATCTTTAACATGGACGTATACAACATAATGATAATGACATGAACGTTTCAACTTCTAATAAATTTTTAAAATAAATTATTTTTTATTTGAAATTTAAATTTTTGTGTTTGTTTTCATTCATCTGTTAATTAGGTTGTTAAGTTAATCACATAAAATATATCATTATTTTCAATTATACGTACTTTTGTCTCAATAATTTGCAAAACACCAAACATTTTCTACTTGAGACTGATGAGTTAAATTTAAAAAAATATGGCATTTGTAGTTTGTGGTTAGCTTAACTATCTAGTTAATGGGCAAATGAAAACATTCACAATTTTTTCTTCTGAAATTTGAATTGAAAGTGTCTAATTGAATCAACTTATTACGAATATTTGAAATGTTTAACTAGAACATGACTTAATTTGAACGCTTAAATGAAATATCCTGACAAATTTAATAAGCTGACGGTGTATTAAGCTTTTATTTATTTACTTTTAATTAGGTGGTAAGAGGGTGAATGATTGTTGCATGCCGTAGACGAAGGGTTGGTAGTAATTTAGTTTGTATGGCTTTTCATGATGGCCAACACTTTCCATGATCCAATAATACTCATAGAAAATTGCATCAAGATAACTTTTTTTCCCCATATATATATACCCAATGTAGTCCTGATCTAGGGAGGGTAGAGTGTACGTTGATCTTACTTCTACTTCAGAGGTGAAGGAGGGGTTATTTTCAATAGACCATTGGTTCAAAACAAAAATAGTCTAGAAAAAGACTTGATGAAAATACAATATACAACGGATAGAAACAAAACAATAATTAGGAACGTAATAGTACTACTACAAACTACACAAAATAATAGATAGTCACAGAAATCGAAACTTCAAAAGTAGTTCTACGACTACTAGTAAGTGCAACAAGATAAAACACTCCTATACCTACTAGTATGGACACACTCCTATCTTCCTATCTAAGGTCATGGCCTTGATATGCTGCAATTGTGTCATATTATGTCTAATCACATCTCCTCAGTACTTCTTAGGCCTACCTCTTCTTCTGAAACCGTCCATAACCAACCTCTTACATCCCCACACTGGGATATCCGAACATGTCTAAACCTTCTCAAATGTAAAATTTTATACATATAAAGTAATTTTTTTAAACATACATATAAGATTTGATCAAAATTATTGAATTCTATTGAATCCACCGACAAACCAAATTGCAGCAAAACCAAATAAACAAAAGAAAATAGTACTATGTAACTAGTGTAATTATAATAATTAATTAGAAGAACATGAAAGAATGATTGTCCTACAGTCACCTACATACTAGACTCTGCACAAAACACAAAATAATTTAATTCAAGAAAAAGATATGATAGTTGTTATAGCAAATGGCCTCCAACACCATGTGGATTTGTCATTTCCAATAAATCATACAACATGGGTTTACACTCTTTAAAAATAAAAATAAAAATAAAAATTAGCGATGAATTATAAAAAATCTTACTTAACAATAAGATATATTTACTAATAAATTAACAATGAATTCATAGCTAATTTTTATTTCAAAATGAATGCCGTAACTAAGTGTAAGTGTGTGTGCCAAACTAAGTGTAAATCAAGTTAAATATACGTTTCAAAACTCATAACGTTTAAATTCTTGATCAATAGAATATTTTTTGAGATAAATGAATCAATTATTCAATAATATCCGCAAAAAGGAAGAGTCTCATCTTAATTTTTTGTTTTGTAAAAGAAAAAAACCAAGTATTATTGAGTTGTTTGATATAATTAATACTACTTTTTTTTTTCTTTTTAGTCTATTTTTTTTATAACGATTAATTTCAAGTTTCCATATAACATGCTTAAGTTATAAGATTAAAAGACATTTTTGTATATTTTACTTGATTTAAATGTTTTCTTTATTTTTTTAAATTTTGTATCAAGTCAAAACTAGATAAATAAATTGAAACGGGGGAAGTAATATACTTTTTTTTTTGTTTCTTATCCGATGTTTGATACTCACATTGAAGCTCGACAAAATTCGAATTCACGTCGAAAAATACCATATTGAAGAGTAAAGCGCTTCCTAACAAAGACAACTCTGTATATATTTTTATATGTATAGTAAAGAATAGTAAAAAGAATAAAAACACTAACAACTAGACATGCAAAATTTGTCCTAGCCTTTTACGTCAGTAGATGTGAGATGTCATTTTTGTATATCCCTCAAAATATTCTTCTTTTCACTTTTTTTTTTAAAAAATTATCTTTTTTATTTTTTATATTAATTTCATTAAATATTGTACATTTTATTTTCCTATAAATAGCTCTCTCAATTGTTCATTTCTCATCACCATTCTTACTATCAAAAACACTTTGCTCCCTTTTTTCATCTTTTCATTTTCTTCACATCTTATTAGTTTCATTTTTATTTCAGAAAATGGCCACTGTTGAGGTACATTTTTCTCTAGTCATTTTTTTTAGTTGTTTTCAATTTATATAATCTTTTATCTTGTATGATTAAATCAATTTGATTTCAATTTCATTCGAGTATTGGATCTCCTCTCTCATCACAGTACCACACATTTTTTTCTATGTGTTATAGTCAGAAGTGGAATCATGATTTAAAGTTTACGTGTTCTGAACTAGTAGTTGAACTCATATAAGTAGCTTGAGTTCACAAATTAAATTATTACACATATTCAATGAATTTCCTAATAAGTCTAAAGCTACTCGTATTTAATACTTAGATCTTAATATGTAATTTTAAAAAATGGCCACTGTTGAGGTACATTTTTCTCTAGTCATTTTCCTTTTCTTTATTGTTTTCAATTTATATGATCTTTTATCTTGTATGATTAAACCGATTTGATTTTGATTTCATTCGAGCATTGGATCTCCTGTCTCATCTCAATACCCCACGTTTTTCCTACGTGTTCTTGTCAGAAGTGGAATCAGGATTTAAAGCTTACGAGTTCTGAAGTTGTAGTCAAACTCATATAAGTTTGCTTGAGTTCACAAATTAAACTATAACACATATTCAATGAATTTCCTAATATAGATACATAGTCTAAAGCTATTGAGTTCGTCATAACTCGTATTTAATACTTGATCTTAATATGTACTCACCATTGCATTTCATGTCAATGCTAGTCGTCCTGCTTCTATTTTTTAACCGCATTTATTTTTTGGTTATGAAGGTTCAATCCACACCAGCAACAGAAGTAGGAACTGTTCCAGCTGAAATCGAGGCGAAAATCACACCAGAGGCAATCAAAATTGAGGAAGTAGCCCCAGTTGCAGAAGAAACAGCACCAGCATCAGCAGAAGAAACCGCTTTAGTTGAAGAAAAAGCGGTCCCTACTGTGGAAGACACCGTGATCGAACCAGCACCAGCACCCGAAGAAGAGAAATCAGCCCCAGCTGTTGAGGAAGCAGTGGCTGAAGAGAAAACAGAGGACTCTGTTTTAACAGAGGAAACAGTGGCTGCAGAACCAGAAGTTGTTGGTAAGATAAAAATATTTCTATTTTTTTTTAATTTTTTTAACTTTATGATTAGTTATTAAATTAAATATTTGTTTTTTTTCACGGGCCAAGCCTTTAAGTTGTTTAAGTAGATTTGATCTAGGGGCACCAGGCAATGGATACTGTTATCACATCCGAGCATGCAGTTAGTAGGTTAAAAAAGGAAGCATTAGAATGTGTTTCTGCTTCGTACGATAGAGAAAGACTTGTTTAATCCTGTAGAAACGTTCACATTGTTAAACAGGACAATGTTTTACTCATATTTATTCAATATTCTTGTTGTTTTTGCAACAGATGATGAAAAAGTTGAAGTGAAGACTGAGGCAAAAGAAGAAGAGGAAAAAGTTGTTGATGCATCAGCTGTTGAACAAGTTGAGAAGACTGAAGAGTAAAACTGATTTTGACTCTTTTTATGATGAAAAAGGATGGTGAATAATGTGGGGTGGGGATG